TCATGAAAATATAATAGCAGTACAGCTAATGCTACAATCAGGTGAAAATAATCATGCGAAACCCACAACGGATGCTTTTGGAAGAAGAATAAATAAGGTCGGTGTGTGGATCTTCTCTCAGATGACACCTCATCCACACCAACATCCATACATTGACATGCATTCCCCCACCCTATCTGCACTTCTACGCTTACCCTCACATCACGATATAAGTTTCCCTTTTTTTCCGCTATTTTCTGCATTTTTTAGCTGAACTTTCCGTTTTTCAGGCTTTGTGAAGTCGCAATCCTACAGAAAGAAAACAAAAAAATTAAAGTTAATCTTTATATGGAGTTCATTCGATAGTAAATTTTTGTACCCGGTGATCGTAGTAACCGACGACATAGAGATTGCCATGCCCATCGAATGATAAACCAATGGGACAAATGAGTTTATTCGACTGTGCTCCTTCACTGTTTCCACTGGCAATTACACTTCCCTCTGTGGTTCCTTTGGGCCAACGCATGATTCGGTTGTTCCCCAAATCAGCTACATAGACAGTGCCCAATTGATCGACAACGACTCCCATAGGATTGTCTAATTGTGTAAGACCATCCCCTTGTCCTTGACCACCGGCTACAATAATGCCTTCTTTTGCACCTTCTTCCCATTTCATTACACGATGATTTCCCCAATCAGACACATACACTGAATGACTTCGATCGACAAATACGTAGCAGGGGTTAGAGAGCTGATCCAGACCATGTCCTTTTCCATTGCTACCTGCAACTACTGTTCCTTTAGTGTCATCAATTTGATATCGCCTCACTTCATGTTTTCCTTCGTCAACGACATAAAGAGATCCATTCTCGTCCATTGTCAAACCCGCACAATCAATGTTCGAGATAATTGTTTTTCCATTAGTAAAGTTTCGACGAGGCCATCGAACTACTCTTTTATTCCCGTAATCGCTGATAATAAGACTATCTCTCTCTTTATCGACAATCACATCTTCTGGGCAGCTTAACTGATGAGCTCCATTTCCATATTCATTTCCACCGGCAACCACTCGACCATTCATTGCACCAGATTTCCATTCCACAATGCGATGATTCGCATAATCAGCGACATAAATCGTTTGATCATCATCGACGTATAAACCGCCTGGATAAGAGAGTTGATTGATTCCACTGCCCCATCCGTATCCTCCAGCAACAGTGAGGCCATTTTTTGACCATTTTGCATTCGGATGAATATCAGTCGAACTCGCACGTAGTGGTACTGAAATGAAACAGAAGTATGGAGTAGAAATCAACATCGGCTTCATTGAAATGAGTTCATCTTTTGTTTTGAGCAGTTCTGAACTGCTCTCAGTTACAAAAACTTATATTTTTGATTTGATGAGAATCTGATTTTCTCAATATTGAAAACAAACATTATTTATTTTCAAATATTTTGTGTAAGAATCCTGATTCTGGTTACCAAAGTACTGCGGTCAAAGCAAAAGTACTAGCATTACTGGCTGACAATTTTAGAAAACAATTAAAATTTAAGACTCTGGGTGTTTGATTGATATCATATTCAAATCTGGACTATGTTTGAAACAGGTGTACTGACAATTCATACGATATTTGCAAGAGCATTGGAACGTAACGCTCAACTATATCGAACATTTAACTGGTACGACCGGAAAAAAACAAATAAGAACTTAAGAGGCTTTCTCATTATTATCTTAACATTTACTGGATACGATTGATACGAAAAAACATAAATCAGATGTGAGCCCAGGACAGCAGAACCGTCTTGTCCTGTGCCAGGCTCTGACATCCACTAATTCTTCTCAAGAGACATTGTCCTAACAGAGGTGGTAGTGTCAATTTTCTTTTCTTCCAGGAAAAAATGAGAGTTATGGAAGAGTTTGAACGAGAGTAAAAATAATCCAATTATTCAAATAGATCTTTAAAAAGTATTTGACGATGAGAATTTTTATTTCATAGAGATCATTTTATTATTAGAAAACGAGATCTGAATAATTTCTTTTCAAAAAATTCGAACGAACTATTTTGTTTTCAATATACTTCAAGTCATTGTTTCAAAAATCATGAAGGTTTAACTGTTGAATTTTTCATATTTTGAAATTGATATCTCAAATTCAATTCTCATCGAACTTAGTGAAAAGAAATTTACTTAAACAACAACAATGAATTATTCGAGCTATTCTCGATCGAAATCAAGACTTGTTGTCGATGTTTTGTGAAGCAGAGATTGGCAGGGCGCGAAGCGGTGGCGGGCCACCGCAAGATTTGGCAGTTTCTTCGCTATATGAGAAAACTTTTCTTTTGTTTTTAAAAATTGCTAAATCTATAAAAGTTAGTAACTTTCATTAGTTTTCTTGTTTTTTTTTTGCACTATTCTGTATGTATTTAGATGTGTCTGATGTCATTAATCAAATAACGATATGGAATTTTTCGGATGAACGATACAGATTCTGTGCACATTTGTCAAAAATCTTGTTTTAGAGTTTATGATCGCATTATGACGTTTATGTAGTTAAGTACTATGATCATATATTTGTGCGATCACATACGAGACCATCAGATCATATAGACAGACACAGGAAGCAAAGTTTAAATAGTGTACAGGTCATCACAAAATCATAAGACACCCTATCGATGTTGTCAAAATATATTCATACGATCTTAAGAAGCTCACATTATAAGGTGATTTTTAAAAAAAGTAAATTCTATTCGAAAAAATCACTAGGATGTGCTGTAATTTAGAAATACCCTCTACGACTTATATTCAGTAAACCAACATTGCAGTTCGAAGTTTGAATTCAATAATTAGAGTTCAACTTCGTATACTATTCAATCCGACAAGACAGACTATTATGTAGGTCGTTTCTAAAGTGCTACATGAAGTATATGGGCAATTATGGAAGTACCCTGGAATCAATCAAAGTGGAGTTCCAGTGTTTCTAAGTATCAATTTTTTTCTGAATGTATGCTGAGATTTAAAGTTTCAGTTATTTTCTTCATTGTACATATGTCAACTATAGCTAACTCTGAAACTTCTCTGCGGATTTACTTCTATTTCCTTTTATTAAGAAACTGTAAATAACTATGGTCAAGATCGAACTTGAATCCATACAGGACAGAACATTATGCTTTGGAGAATGTATAGAGTAAGCAGCTTCTTCATGTTCCTGAATGATTGTAGTTGTTTTTTCAATAAGATGATGATGCACGCGCATCAATCTTGGATTATATAAACTACCATGTTCAAACGAATTCGAATCTGAAATTTTGTCTAGTTGTACTTGTTGTGGTCATATAAAGACACTAGTAATTTGAATGAAAAAAATGTATTCTTTAGAATATGCCAATGCTTAAAAGCTTGTCTCGAAATGTGTGAGATCAAGCAAAGAATTTTTTTTAAATTAAAGATATCGATAATAAAACATTTTTCGACTGAAATTTTTAGTGTCTTTTTGACCATGAGAACTACAAATACACGAAATTTCAGATTTTAAGTCGCTTGTTTGGCTTTTCAGTTTAATTTTTTTGTGCTGGATGAAAAAATGAATAAGATGGTCATAGCTCTCGAAGGAAGCTCTATCAACAGAAAACTTCCTATAATGGTTCTTAGAATACTGTGCCCAGTATATGGGCAAAATTTCATTGAAACTAATATCAATAAATTGAAGACCTTCTCTCGTCAGCAACATGAAATAATATTTTGGATTCTTTCCAAAGCGAATCATATGCTTTGATAGTTTCGTGTGTTATAAATATAAAACAGTCCCATGCTGCCGAGTAAGTGTATGATTATCTTAAGCAATATAGAGTAAAAGATGAAATGAAAACAAAGTTAAAAATGAGCAAAACTTAAAGTATTAAGTTTAAGCTTCTTTGATCGTCTCAATGCTAACCAGAACGATAAAATCCAGCTTTTTCTATCCTTATCTGGTAGGAAGTCTCTCATATAGCTTTATATTTACCAAAAGATTTCGTTGCCATACAAACTGATGCTTATGAGAGTTGTTTTTACTCAAGTTAGAAGCGCACCAAATAAAAAAGTCCATCCACCTTGACGACGATGTGCATTTAACATGAATTCCCAGAAATTTTTCGAAAAGTTAGCCTCTCAAATTCTTTCGTTGAAACAGGGAGAGATGTTGCGGCGGCGGTGTATCACGGGAGTGATAAGACATCATACAAAGATCTATCGACTATAATAGAACTATTCAGTCATAGAACTTTGAAATTGCAAAGACACCGTTTGTCAAAAAGTAGTTTTCGTACACCATCCACGGTTCCAATTTTCTGTTCATGGCAGAAGTGAACGAAGATGAGAAAAACTTAGTATCCAATCCAACAGCTACGTTTCGAATGGTTATCTCCTCTGGACTTCCTCAAATTCCTTCTTATCGCGATTGATGTTGCAAAGTAGGACATGACGACTTTGACACGCTTACTTGTTGACAGGAGTTGAGAAACCAAAACGTTCTACGAACTCTAACAACTGAAGAAATAAATTCAATGCAAAGAATCTACACTGTAAAAAAAATAGGTGTTTTACCGAACCTGTGCCCAGGATAAGAACCTTTTTTGGTTCCGTGCGAAATTGCCGAACTTAAAAAAGCTCGGTAATTTTCGCACGGAACTAAACAAAGGCTCAGTAATTTTGTACGGAACCAAAAAGGTTCTTATCTTGGGCTCAACTTCGGTAAAACACCTGTTTTTTTTACAGTGTAAAAAACTCCATAAACTGCAAGAATGATCGGAGTTCAATAAATAAAAGCAACTTCGAGTTTTCAAGCATATCAACAAAGTCTGAGAACTGTTGGACATCGAGGCAGTCGATGCCGTCGTGCAGAGCATCCACATACCACTCACATCTATGCCTGCACCCACACATATACCCTTAAAAAGATTTCGTCTTATACCATATTGAAGAAAAAGATGTCCCTGTGTCTGTTCTTTCGATCGGAGAAGACCGCAGTGTAACGATAAATAGAAGAAGATGATGTAATGACAGACTGGAGGAGTAGCTTACCGCCACCCTCGATAATGATGTTTATTAGCTACTTCACATCTCCAGAATGTGTCTATTGCACATTCAACACACACTTATATATGATACAGAAACAATGGGAGAGAGACGACACAGAGAGAACAATAGAGAGAGAAAGAGGAAAGAGGAAAGAAGAAGAGCAGCGAGCCGTGACGCATATATCGGCACACCCTCCCACTCAGATGAGACGCGCTCCTGAGCGTCTTTACAATTTAGAAAAGAAAAACAGAAACGATAAAAAATAATTAGATGAAAGAAAGAATACATCAAAACAAGTTCATTGATTGAACTTCATCGTAGAAAATACAGTCATACACGAACGACAATATCGACTTTCATACATAACTTCGTATCAACACACGTCTTCACAGTATCATAGCATCGAGTCACGAACAGAGCAGTCAAGAAAAAGAGGAACAAGCTTTTTAAAGGAGTGATCATCACATTTCAAACTCATAAATTCGGCAACACCTTTCAAATATAAATAGAAGATCAGTCAACACGAACACGGCATACAAATAATGATCGTCACAGCTTCAATCATCGCACAAAAAAAAAATTTTGACAGAGCACACAGAAATGAAACAATATAGAAATATAGAATTCATAACACGCATATGATCAGTCACACTTTTTCGCACATTTTCACATTCGTAGGACGCAATGTCGAACAACAACACATATCAATTTTAGAGAACGAGAAAAAAACACAAGTCATCGGTTACACAAGCTTAGTATAATTTTAACCATAAGTAGACATAAATATTCTAATTCATACAGGATAGAAACTCTTGTCTAGTGCATAAACGATACCTAGAACGGTTTCTTGTTTTGTCTTACTTACTAGATTATTACAAAAACGAACACATAGCTTATAGAAAAATATCGCATCATATTTCGATTATCTACATGATCGAACATAAAAGATTATCATTTAACCCATCTTCTATTTATGTTTCGCCGGAGAAGAAGAGAAAAAAAAAATTCACACTTTCTAATCAGTATCATCACTATAATTACTTTCGTTTTAAATTCTTCACTGGCTTCAGGCCTTTTAAGGATAACATCTTCATTTAATTTTATGTTTCTTCTAATATTTGATTGTTACGCATCGTTAGTTAGCAAGATGTTCAGCTGAATAACTGTTGGTGGTGATTGACAACACGAAGTGAATATTGATGATGAATGAATATCAATTGTTTACAGCTGATACACAATCAATTTCATGTTCATCGATATCCATTTGTTCTG